TATTATTCATATATCTATTTACGCACTAATAAAACTAAATTCTAATGAAATTTTGAATATTTTCTGATGAATTTCGTTCGAATTTTCAGAATTTTTGAATGTTGTTATGTTGTTATAGGATGCACAAAGGTTATTTTTCTCCACAAAAAATAGTTATATTTTTTTAATTTTGTACCGTTAAATAACGCAAAGGTTATTTCAAAATAGTGAGTGGTTCAAACATTATTTTAGATACTTGATGATTGCTATAAATTAATTTATTTTATGAAATAATATCGGTAGATGAATTTTTGATTCAAAGCATTAAAGCGTAAATACGTTTATTTTCAACATGAAACGAATGTTTTGAGCTGAAAAAATGATATTTTTATCCGCAAATTTGAGCTTTGACAGGTAGATGAAGGATGGAATTTTGCTACTTGGCTAAGATAAGAAAAAGACAAATAGTTATTTTTTAAATTTATTACTTTTTATTATGATCGCTCAAAACTGTTATATAATATGGACACAGGGTTGTATGCTTCTCTACAGTTTTGCCATTTCTTTGGTTTCTTCTATTATTTGCACGTCGAATCTTAAACCATTATTTTAGGTTGCTTCTATCTACACCAGTTTGTTGTGATAGTTCCAACAGTTCATGCGCAGGTATTTGCTTTAATCAGAAGAAAGAGTCGAGTCGAGTTCGTCGTGGATAGTGCACGTTTTGTGTTTATCTTCTGTTAAAAACCGAGCTCGAATATCGACGTTATCAGTTACCACTTTTTGTAAGGAGTAAACTTTCTCAAAAATAGACCATACCGTGCTGAGAGGTGCATGGCCCTGCAATAGTGGGTCTTGAACGGTGGCCTCCGGATACCTGGTGACCTTTGGTTGTAGATATTAGCTTGCTGTGGTAAGCCGGCTCTGCTGCAGTTGACATCTTTTCCGAGCCTACTAGTGGGATGCACATGAATAACCTAAATAAAAAAACAAGTGAGGTTCCCACTTATAAAAAAAAACAGAAAAAAATAATGATTTGGAGACGGTGGTACTACAACCCCGGTTCCTTATCATTAAAATATTAGATGGTACTAATTTCGACAAGATTAATCCGTTCTTAATTGAAAAGAGCATATATGGAATAATTGGAGAAGTAAAGTCGATAAAGAAAATAAGCGAAGGACTATTAGTAGAAGTCTACTCTAAGAAACAATCTGACAGACTAGTATTGTTAACAACTTTTGGAGATCTGGCGGTAGAAGTAATTCCGCATAAAACGCTAAATTTTATCAAAGGAGTAATACTGTCCTGATTTACTCAATTGTACGGAAGAGGAAATACTAGAGGAGTTGAAAGAAAAGAACGTTACAGAGGTGCGAAGAATCAAACAGAAGAGGGATGGTGAATTGAAGGACATTCCTTCTCTCATCATTACATTTAAAACTCCGGAGATATAAATATATAGAAAAGTACATAAACACAAAAATATAAAATAAATAAAAGAATAGCAGCTGCATAAAATCATCGACAATTGAGTATAAAAACCAACAAACAACCAAGCAAATAAACCAACAAAGGGCACGCACCAAATACAAAAAAAAAACAAAAACTTCATACAGGTCTGACAAGTCAATGACCGAGACCAAACGACATGCACACTACTGCTGGCTCCGAAGTAATACCTTACGATACCTGCTGCCGATATCACGCACCGTGATGCCAAAGCGGCGCATGGTGATAATGCCATCGACGACACAGTACGTGAAGCTCCGCTTAAAGATCACCATGTTATGCATAGGAGTTGTTGTTGGTCACGACTCCGCAGATTCAGACCATGCACATCGCCGCGGAACCTAATTTTCCGCAGAAGTCTGAGCGAGAGTATCCCGAGGAAAAACCGGGCCGCATACAGTCGTCTCGTACTGCTCATGTTCAAAATTCCCTCACTAATAAATCTGGAAGAGACGTGAACAAGGAATCCCTCTAGAATTTGACCTACAAACATTAAGATTTTTCACCTCTCTCCTCATCAAAGCCCTGCTGTCGCAATTTGCGCAGGTAAAAACAAGGTAGGCCCGCCGCTCTGACGACTCTAGTTGTCATATTACGCATCTGTCTATAGAAGGCAACATCACTAATGGATCCAGTCAACTTACACTTGGACAAGACCCTGTCCCTAACTTTCATCATCTCTCTGAGGTTGTGGGTTAACCAGGGTGCATGACCCCCAATTGCCCGTACCGTCCTAAGGGGAGCAAGTATGTCCACAACCTTCATCACACTTGCAACAAAAAAATGCACCTTTACATTAACGTCACGGATATCTATTTATACATCAATAAACGCACTTATAAAACTAAATTCTAACGAAATTTTAAATATTTTCTGATGAATTTCGTTAGAATTTTCAGAATTTTTTAATGTTGTTATAAGATGAACAAAGGTTATCTGAAATCGTAATACAACGAAGGTTTTGCGCTGAAGCAATTTGATATATTTCTCCGCAAAAAAATATTTATAATTTTTTAATTTATTTAAATAACGCAAAGGTTAATAGTGAGTGGTTCAAACATTATTTTTAATAGTGGATGATTGCCATAAATTAATTTATTATGTGAAATAATATTGGTGGATGAATTTTTGATTGAATAAAGCGCAAATACGCGAATACGTTGAATTTTCAACATGAAACGAATGTTTTGAGCTGAAAATATGATATTTTTCTCCGAAAATTTGAGCTTTGACAGATACAGGAACGATCGACTTTGCTACTTGTTATAATTTTTTTTTTTTTATGTTTATGAGGCATCGACAGCTTAGGTCATTAGCCTCTATCACAATTAAAAAGAACTTATACACAATACAGAAACAAGTAAGTTAAAATAAACAAATTAAGTGTATATATAAGTAAAATAGGTAAAATATTAAAATAACGCAACAAGTAAGTTGAAATAAATCATATGTAAATATTAGTAAAATGGGTAAAAGAAACATATTAAAATAAACCGAGTGGATACATTCTTTATAGTTGTCGTAAAAGTCCCGACTCGTTCAGAAATAAAATGATAGATTCGATGGACCCCCTCTTGTTGTCCAGATCGACAACAAGGTCTCGCCACCGCGCGCTGTGCAGCGTGCTTTAAACAGTCCTCGACGATGTGCTGTACCGTCAGAGGAACTCCACAGGTCTCACATATAGGGGCATCTGTGCCAGTGAGAATATATGAATGAGTCAGGTTTGTGTGACCCAACCTAAGTCTGGTCACGGCCACCTGCTCTCTCCTCTCAAGGACTATCGGGCACTTCCATGAATCAACAGTCTTTTTGATCTGAAGCAACTTGTTAGTGTTCAGCATCTGCCACTCCATTAGAACACTAAAGTCACATGGTTCCTAACGTCGTCGGGTCTATACAGGAAGTCGGGACCGACGACACCTCGCACTGCCTCTCGGGCTGCGGAATCGCCAAGTCACTGTCACCAATGCCCATGTGCGAGGGTATCCACACGAATCGAACAATACTACCCCGACACTTAAGACGATATACCGTGTCCAGTACCGATTGTACAAGCGGGTCTCCTGATTGGACATTTTTCAATCCCTGAAATACGCTCAGTGAATCAGAGCACACAATAAACGACGTATTGGGAGATCCAGCACAAAACTCCACCGCTCTCCTGATTGCATCCAGTTCCGCAGAGAAGACACTAATGCCAGACGGTAACGCCCAGGAGTAGGCCTCCACCCCGAAAACCACGGCCGACCCAGCACCCTCACCACCGACCGATCCGTCCGTGAACATCATTTTCAAGACAAGAAAAGCTACAAAAAATTATGTTTTCAAATACGCGTGATACGCGGATACCGGATATGGGGACACTGATAGAGGCACAGACAAACATTCTGATACACAAAATAGTAAAAAAAACCATATTAACACCCGGATAGGCCTATCTTTAGGCTGCGACACACACGATTATAGTACGAGAGCGAGAGGAAATATTAGGATGGAACAAAATGCAACTAACATAATGAACAGGAGTTTGCTGGTGCAGGGCGTAGCACAATACAACACGGTTCCAGAAGAAATAAGAAGAGAAAATTACATGAAGAAGTTTAAAACAAAAATGATGCCTGCTCAAAATACCGGTTCCAAGGAGCGTACCAAAAGAACCGAACCTGAGGGGCATACACATAAGGAAATAATAATAAAAATGTATAAAAAATATTGTAAAAATTGTATATAAATAATTTAAAAAAAATAATAGTTTTTCTATTCTCTTTATCTCTCGAAATCCGAATATCCTTAGCAAATTAAAGTATTTTCTTCTTTATTTTTAATTAAGCTTCCCGGACGGAAATATCTAGTTACATAACATTTACTTTATATGTATAGAATTGTTATTTTGATGTTATTTATCTTTTATTTTGTCTTATTTGTATTGTGTTATTTAGTTTTATTTAGAATTGTATTCTTTTCTGACCAATAAATCACGTTTATTGATTATTAGTTTTCATTTAATATTCCGGTTATGAGAAACACCAATATTTTCAAATATTTTTCAAAGTTTCTTAAATTAGAGGATATAAAAGAAGCCGGTTATAATAAAAAGTAATTTCTATAAATCAATTAAAGCAAAAACAGCAAATTTTGAAAAAAACAAATTATATCATTTTATATAAATAAAGATAATAAATGGCATATGCCAATATTATAGAAAGAACAACAATTGAAATTCGTTTAGGATATGTCTTCTAAATTTTATTTATTTTTGATCAATTATTTAAATATAAATAAAAAAGTTGGGCAAAAATTTGTTAGTTAATTATCTAAAATTGTGTTTTGCTCTATCCTTTATTAAATGAATTATATATATTTTAGATATATAGAATAAATAATTATTAAATAAGTTTTAATTACAATTTATCATATATTATAATAATATTTATTGCAACATTAAAAATGCAATAATAAAAATAAAATAAGTAGCTAACTACTATTAACTTATTTAATTTCTTCATGGAAAATATATTAATCACGCTTAATCTTTTTTGAGACTAATTTGAAACATTTCTTGATGACAAAATAACTTAACAATATTATTAGTAATATTATAAATATGAAGAAAGAAATTATGTCCAAGTAGTAATACTGATATGTGGGGATATTTGTAGCAGGACCTTTCAAGTGCTGTGCCCCTTTGTTCCTCAGGACGTACTCTGTCCACCAAACAGCTTTATCCAAACCGGACATTGGTTGATCTTTAATTAAATTTGTCATCTCCATAACTCTATTTTTGTACCTGAAATATGTATTTTAGTTTAGTCTAATATAATTTAACTGGTTGTAATGGTTACTCACTTGGGATTACTGATCATCTCGTTGATACTAAATGTAAATTTCTCGACCGTAATTCTTTGTATTCTAAGAATAACCCTAATCCATTTGATTCTAGTTTGAAGGCATTACTTGATTGATCACCAAAGAACGGCAACCCAAGAACAGGCACATAATTGTATAGGCTCTCTTCTAACGATTGCAATCCGCATTGGCTGATAAACAATTTGATGTTTTTGTGGCCTAAATACATTGAATTAATCACAGTTTTTTTTTATTAAAATGATGATTTAGATTTACTTAAGACATCTTGTTGTGGAATCCACTTGACGATTTTCACGTTGTCTGGTTTTCCAGGTAGATTTTCAGCTTCAAATTTCCACAGGATTTTGTAAGGAAGTTTGGCGAAGGTTTTCATAATTATGTCGCGCGTTTCCTCCGGAATATCTTTGCTTTTGACGTTGGAACCCAAACTAAAATAAATTACTCCTTCTTTTGCTTCATCCAGAAATAATTTCAAATCCTACAAAAATGTTATATTAGTTGGATTTTGGTGTACACATTTTAATATCTTACTTTTGGTAAATCCTTGGTGGTTTCATTTGAATGAATGGACCAATGGTAACAGTGGCTGGTGTCAGAGGTCTTACAGTGTGAAAGATATAATTAATGTTTATGAAAAGCATATCGATTGCATCTGTAAGATCAGTTAGTGAAGGATAGTCACTTCCAAATAATTTCGCTACTGTTTTTTCTTCCATTGGCCTACCAATCACCTCGCCATAAAAGATTGTGAATTGCATAATGATGAAACTTTGCAATCTCTCAAAGAAATTCATATTTTTCGTTTGGAAAGGTAAAAACGACTCAG